TCACCCAGCTGGCAGGATTGGTGTGTCTGGCTGAGGACCCCTGGTCTTGGGCATAAGCTGAGTGCGGGCCCAGCGCACTCGCTACAGCCCAGGCTGCCTCAGTTCTCTGAGCAGCCTCGGATCGAGTGCCACTTCCGTTCCCCCGCAGCCCCCGTTGCTCAAAGGGCTAGGGCCACAAAGTGCTAAACGCACCCTCTCAAACCCAGTGCCGTTGCTCTCCTGGAGGGCAGAGGTGGGGGCAATCCAAATCAGAGATGTCTTTCTCCAAGGGGCAGACGTGAGTGGGGGGACCACAGCCGAAGAATGGAGGATGACCGTGCGTGGCAGGGCGCTGCTGACGGAGGCATGATGGACAGGGACCATAGGAGGTGGCAAGGTGAGGGCTGGCCCTTGGCCAAGGCGCATCTGTCTCGGAGGAGAAGCTGGGGTTACCCATGCTGTACGTTGGGCACTGCTCGTGAGGGCGGGAGCAGCTTTCTCTGCTCTCCCTAGCGTGTGGCCTTGCTCCTTACGGCCTGGGTGGGTGAGTGGGTGAGGTCTGGCACAGGAGGTGTGCCACGGGTGCTGTAGCTCCTCTTCACCGTGACTTAGCAAGGAGAGTGGGTGTGTGCAATCCGTGTGCTCACACATCCTCCACGGACGGACCTGTGGCTCAAGAAAGGGACTGGAGTTGTCTGAGCCCTGTGTCCTCTAAACTCGACGTCCTGTGCCTGGAGGCACTGTGTGAAAAGTGTTCCTTGTTTTCCAGGCGGTGAGAGAAGTATGTCTGGTCACTCGGGGCCAGGTCACATGATGAACCGGGGAGGCATGTCAGGGTAAGGCACATTGTCACCGGTCTTGTCTTTGATTGTGGGCTCACGTCAGTGAAGGTGCTGTGTGCTTGGGCGGGTGTCACTGCTGCTAAAAGGAAGGAGGCCCCAGAGAGCACAGGCACAGGGCAGAGCCCACTGAGTGAAAAATAAAAATAATTTGCCTTTGTTTCAGGCGCGGCAGCTTTGCCCCCGGGGGGGCCTCTCGGGGCCACGTGATCCCTCGTGGCGGCTTCGGGGGCCAGAACCGGGGGAGCCGACCCAACGATGCCCGCTTCACTCGCCGCTACTAAGTGCTTGGGCTCCTGTGTTATGTCACGTGGCAACAAGAATATGTTCTGTTAAGAGTTCCCTTAAACTGTGTACAATAATTTTTTTTTTTATCTGCTGCCATATTGTAGCTCAATACAATGTGAATTTGTTTTTTCTTTTTTTTGGTTTTTTGTAATAAATGTGTTTCTGTTCACATACCCTTTATTTAGAGCGCCGTGTCTTTATTTTCACGTCTTTTAAGTAAAATGAAATTATATTCATAAGTGCTAAGCCACAGCTCTTCTTTCAGGGAAGGAGGATGGAAAGGGGCAGCTTTAGGGGACTGTTGGGTTTTCCAGAAGCACTTTGCCAGCAGCACACACCTTCCAGCCTGCTTGAGCCCGGGCCTGGTGTTCATAGGACCGTCTGGGTCGTGTGTCTCAGCCGTCTGTCCTTCCGCAGGGGCCTTGTGACATACCTCAGATGTTTGTTCCAATCGCCCACATTTTGCCTCCATGTATGACACCCTTGCTGAACGGGCTGTTTTGTGGGTTTTGTGTGGTAAAATACACGTAACATGAAATTGACCATTTTAACCATTTAAGGGTAGAGTTCAGTGGCATTATGTACATTCTCAGCGTCATACAACCATCCCCACCGTCCGTCTCCAGAACTTTTCTTTCTATCCAAACTAAAACTCTGTCCCCATCAAACACTCAGTCCCCAGCCCCCTGGCCCCCACCACCTACCTTCTGTCTTTGAACCTGACTCCTCTAGGGACCTCGTGAGTGGGATTGCATCCTAGTGGGGAGGACAGATGACCACGTGTGCCGTTGAGAGGAGCAGAAGAGCTGTTGGACACCAGGCGATGAAGTCCACCTCGGGGAGTGGCAGGGGCCGGAGTGGAAGGAGAGTAGCCGGGACAGAGGAGTCAGAGTCGGGGCGGCGGGGTCTCACCCCACATAAGGTGCAGGTGTGTTCAGGGTTCAGATGCTGCCTGGACTCCAGGGGTGGCCGGGTGGGACAGTGCCACCTCCCCAGGTCAGCTGTGTTCCTTGTCTCTAGGGGCCCTGGGTCTGTATGGATGGGGCTGGGGGCAGGCCCCCCTATTAGGGGAATAGTGCTCAGAGGCCTGCCTCTTGGCTCCATCTCACACTCAAGTAGGGTCTGGCCCTGTCTGAAGGCTGAGATGTACCAACAACCAAGGCTGACCGGGCCCCTGTCCCCGCAGGGCCCAGGCAAGGGAAGACAGACACAGGACCGGGCCCTTCCACCTGTTGGCTGAATACACCTTCTCCACCAGGCCAGGCAAATCCCCCTCCTAATCCCTGTAAGTTTATACCGCACGTGACAAGAGGGACCTGCAGACAGGATTAAATTAAGAACCTTCATATGGTATCTGGGGTTACCCAGGTGGGTCCAGTTACCAGAAGGGCCCTTGTAAGGGAAATAGGGAGAAGGGCAAGAAGGGGACACGACAGCGGAAGACCGCACTGCTGGCTGTGAGGACAGAGGAAGGGACGCCAGCCAAGGATCACAGTGGCCTCTAGGAGCTGGGAAGGGCAGGAAACGGATTCTTCCCAGCGTCCAGAAGGAACAGGCCATACCCACACCTGGATTTCAGCCCACTGAGACCCATGTTGGACGTCCAACCACAAGGCGATTCTGTCCCGCAAAGACAACTGGCAGCACCAGGAGACGTTTGCGGTTGTCATACGTGGTGGGTAAGGAGGCGCCACTGGCATTTTGGGGGTTGGAGCCAGGGATGCTGCTCAACACCCCGTCCCTGGGATGGCCCCAACACGGATTTATCCTTCCCGGTATCAGCGATGCCAAGCTGTGGAAATCTGCCCCAAGGTGTTGGGCTCTTTGATGGGGCACCCACGGGGCACTGAGGAAGCCCAGAGAGGGCACTCGAGGAAGAGGACAGGGGAGGCTTCCCAAATGAGGGGGCATCTCAGCTGGGAGTAGGATAAAAAGGGGTCAGCCAGGAGGAAGGATGGCCTAATGAGGGGCTGCAAAGTTGTGGGCAAAAGCTGGTGGGAAAGACAGCTGTGTTCTGGGAGCTGAGGGCCACTGGGCTGGCATGTCCAAGGACTGAGGGGAGGCAGGGCCCCTGAGGAATCTGGGCTCACAGGGAGGGCAGGGGGAGCTGCAGGTGTTTGAACAGGGGTGACGTCATCAGACATGGTCTCGGGAACAGATGGAAGGGGGCGGGCCCGGAGGTGGGGTCAGCAGGGAGGTGATCACTGGCAACAAATACAAGTCGATGGAGAGGAACAGGGGTCTGACTGGATGAGGAGACACAGAGGCAAGAGCAGCACTGGTCTCCAGGCTGTCAGCTTGGTCTGTGTGGACAGCGGGAAAGCCATGGGGTCAAGCAGAGCCCGTGGAGACAGACAGACAGACAGACACACACGCACACACGCACTGAGCATGTCCCCAGGGCAGCTCAAAGACTGGCTTCCTTTCCTGTACGCTTTTCTGGGAGGGTTGTGAGGCTTCAGGGAGCCTCGTGGAGCACATGGCACCACCCCAGCTCCCTGAGCCCTGAGCACAAACCTCTCCTGTATTCAAAGCCAGGAATGAGTCTGTGGGGTGACATGGTTGGAAGTCTGCACTCCAGGGTCTCTTGGCAGAGAGAGGGAACCTGGCAGTGAAAGTTTCTCCATCTGTAAAAAATGGGCCCACGAGGCTGCTGGAAGGGCTCTGTGGACGGAGAGTCAGGCTGGGACAGCTCACAGGGCTTGTCCTTGACCTCAGGATGTGCCCTCGGCCTCCAAAATGGCCAGCACCAGCTCCCTCCTTGGCGGCAGAGGATCAAGGATGGCCCCAGGCCCCACAGATCCCACCCTCATCATAGACCCGCTCCCACCTCCACAGGGTCCCAGGTGGCTTTCAGGTGACACACAGGACATGGGAGACCCCACCTGGAGACCATTCCTGGAGACCAGGGTGGCACAGGTCACTCAGGACTCTCCCTCCCCAAGCACCCTGCCCTCCCCACTCCTCCCTGACCAGATGGATGGATGGACGCGTGCTGGCTTCTGCTCCCAGGCGAGCCTGGGAAATGCCCCGGCCTCTGGTCTCTGCTTCTCTCATCTTTAACAGTGCTGTCCCCTCCTGAGTCATGTCCCTGGGTGAGTTCTATCCCCCAAACCAACTGACATGAACTCCGGAACTCTTGGGAACAGAGGATCCTGTGCCAGCTCAGGGCACCATTACCCAGGCCTCCTCCCTGTTCCCAGGGTAGCTTCCTGGGCCAGTCACTGGCTCCCACCCAAGCCCACCTCCTACCCTGTCTGGGGTAGAGGTTTCCTCCTGCCGTCACCATGGTGCGATGCTCTGTGACTGGGTGCTGGGGATCTCACAGGGAGCATCTCAAGTGCCTACCCTCCCCAGAGCTCCAGATGGACGGAGAGACATTTGGGTCACCAAGCAGCTGACACAGCGGGTGTCAGAGAAGGCTTCCCAGGGGAGCAGGGAACATCTGGAAAACGGCCCTTGTGGGCCAGGGAGACTCCCTGCACGGCCATGACCGCCAGGTCTGTGCTCCCAGGAATCCCCAGGTTGTGGGGAGAGGGTGGAATGAGAGTGGAAACCAGGTGAGGGCAGGAGAGCAGGGACTAGACTAGGCGGGCAGATCAGTGAGCTGAGCAGGACAGAGAATCAGTGGCTCTGGGGGCTCCCAGCTGTGTAGACCAGCCCTTACCCCCAGATTGCCCCACCCTGTGCTCAGCCCTCCAAGAACTGAGAAGACCCCAGACCCAGATGGGCCCTGAGCCCCAAGGCAATGGTCTGCTGCCACTCACGGGGAGCCCACCAGTGGGCAGGGCCCAGATACAAAGGGGTGAACCTTGGCCTTCAGTCAAGGTCAGGCCCTGAAGAGCCCCCAGGAGCCAGAAGCCCACGTCCCGGGGGCCAGCACACGGATCGGGGAACACTTCCAAGTCCTTTATTGGGCCGGCAAGGCCGGGAGCTGCCCTAGGAGTGGGGTCCCAGTCTGGCGTCCATGGCGTCCTGGCCCCTGTTCCCGCCTGGGGCAGGCAGCTTCCTCTTGACAGGCTACTTGGTTCGCTCCTTCAGGTATTCCCAGCCCTCCTTGGAGTACTCCCAGGCCTTGGAGGGGGCCACGGACAGAGCGGACATCACCGTGATGATGCCTGTGGGGAAGGAGGGCCCAGCGCCTTCAGCAGAGAGTTTGAGAAGCACCACTTCCGGCTCTGTCAATTTCATGCAGGGAAACAGGTGGAGGCCACATATTGCTCCCACCTCCCTGGAATCTCCACTCCCTTTTCTCTTTCAGGTCCGTTGGGGGCGGCGGGGCGGGGAGGCGGGGGCAGCAGGTGCACGCAGAGCAGGAAGGAGAGTGATGGAAAGGCATGGCAAGGAGGGGAGGTGGAAAGTATCTGGGGCCATTCTCCTGCAAGCAGACGGACCAAGGCCTACCTGAATTCCAGGACTCGCGGATGTGAAAGTTAAACTTTGGAGGGGCTGGGAGCTGGGAAGAGAGGGGAAGAAGGGGCTGGTGAAAGGGGAAGGCCTGGCAGCCCGCGCCTCCCTCACAGGCAGGGAGAGCAGCACACGCCCCAGTGTGGAGAAAGCCAGGCAGGGCTGGAGGGACCGGGGATCAAAGGCCACCCCAGAGCTGACGCCCCTGCTCCCGCCGAGCCGTAGCCTCAATCCAAGCTCGCAGTACCTGGGGTATCTTCAGGCCTGTCTGCTCGCACACGTACTGGCTGAACTGGTACACGGCGGTGGGGACCACCTCCTCAGCTTTCTGAAGGACCGCCTGGCTCTTGTCGCTGGGCCCCAGCAGCTCCTGGTCGTACACCAGGTAGACAGCGCCCCCAGCCACACTGCCCTTGATGAGGAACCTGCAGGCAGAGAAAGGAACCACAGCAGCTCAGCAGATTCTGCTGGCCACCTCCTGGGCCTAGGCCCGCGGGTATGGGGGTGAGGGTTAGACCCCTAGGGGGAGGGGCGTGCCCACAGTCCAAAGAGTGACACACCTGAAGCCAGGCAGCTAAGGCGGGAAGCACAGGGCATTTTGGGAGCCCAGTGGCGTGCCTGACCCACAGCACTGAATTTAAGGCGTGCAGGGATACTCAGTTCCATTTAACTGGTAAACTGAAGCCTGGAGAGAAACAGTGTCACTCAAGATCCCGCAGAGGGCAAGGAACAGTGACCACCTTCTACCTTCCAGCCCCGAGGGATGCTCCGCGAGGAACCCGCGGGGGTTTTCTAAGTGTCCCTGGTCATTTTCTGTCATACGCAGCTCTGGGTGCGCATTAACCTGCCAACAAAGGCGTGCGGCACTCCCATATTACAGAGCGGGCAGCTGAGGCTCGGAGGGGTCTCGGGTACAGAGTGGGAAAGGCACGGACTCGCTAGGAAGCGGGAGGGGGGCGAGAAGCTCCACCCCGGTCTGGACAGACACGGGAGACCTGACACTACGGGCGGCGAAAAGCCGATCGGGAGCAAACCAGATGGAAGGTGCTCGCAGAAGGGAACATTCTCGGGGGCTTGGGGCCCTCCTGGTAGCCCCACGAACCTCATCAGCGACCACACTCCGGGTACCATGACCGCTCCGCTCCGCGCGCAAGGACGCTCGGCTCGCTCGTCACTTCCGGTCGCGGCGTTGCAGAGGCCTCTGGGAGGCGTAGTCTCTTGTCAGCCGCAAAGGCCTCCGGGAGTCGGAGTCTCGGCACCGAGACAACAGAAAGAGGTTGCGGTCCCACTGCAAAACAATTGTGCGAAGCTTAGTCCTCAGGGCCCAGCCGCCGCAGAGCTGTCTGGGAAAAGTAGTCGGCAAGTCACGTGAGGCGCCGGACGGCTCGTTTAGCCGCCAAGCCTCCTGGGAAATGCAGTCGGGCGCGGCACGGCCCTCGTGACGTGAGG